TTATTTTATAGAACAATAATGCATAAAATAAAATTCCTGTTCATCACACTAATGACGTAAATATTAATAAAATTTATCGATTAAGGTATATTAAGAAATTCCGAAAAACAATTATAAATAATTTAATGTTAATATTTATATACATTATAAAGGAACAACTTAGTTTTAAATAGCTTATGTTTTTCATTGATATATAACTGCTATAATTTGAGAGATGAATATTATAGGATAAAAAATTTACATAAAGACGTTACATAATGTAGGATGGAAGAAACACCTTTTCCTTATCATGTATCTCTGGGATATTAATTTTATATAGCATTGTCTCTTATTTTCTGCGTCTTTATTTTTGATATTTTAGGAAAAAGTAATGTCCGAATTCTTCTCGAATGGAAAAAGGACAATAGAATTGAATTATCTAACGAAGGAGATGGTCCAGAAGGAAAAATCGGTGTGGCTGTATTTCCTGGAGGTTTAGTTTCAGTCTTATACCTCTCGTTTCAGTTAACAAAACTTTCAAAGATGAAATTTAAAGGTTTTATTCAGACCAGATACCTGGAAGCAAACATAATTCGATATCTAAAGGTAAAATAGAATGGCCGAGTTTACGAACGATATGTGAACGGATCATAAAGGGACGCAAAAATGAATTTCATCATAAATAACTGAAAAGAGGTTTAGAATACCAGTATTTCCAAAGCACAGATGGTTCTGATTATTATTTTATCTGTCAAGAGGCTAAAAATTTGCAAAATCATGGCGAGGAGAAATATGCATCGGAAAAAGAAAAATTAAGAGTTCATTAATATTTTAATTTAATATAATCAATAGAAGAATTAATTCTTCCATTTAATAGATTCTATAACCATTAATGGTTTAATGGTCTCTGTACCCGTTCTGATCTTCAAGCTCCAGTAACGAAATAGTAATTAAATTTTACTAGGGAAGGGGCCAAAGTGGCAATTTGCCCATAAGGGCTGTTAATTTCATTTTGGCATTTTGCATCGTCTACCATAAAATGACGTTTTACTTTACTTTACAAATTGTTACCACTACATATTGTCGCCCTGCATTACATTTTAAGAAATTAAATAATGAATAATCTGCATGGATGTGTGTATGTTCCTTTCATTGTGAAAAGCAACGGCACCTAGAGACATCAAATTTTGAATAACGCAAGTCCTCCACACGAATATAGGCATCTGGAAGCCCAAATTTGGAATTTGAACTTTATTTTATAATTTATTTCATATTTGTAAAACTTTAACGAATTTTTTCATAACAAATTCAACGATTTCAAAGCGAGCAATGGCAACACCCTACGAAGGGGGAAACGTTTTTATCTCCAGCGCGCGATACTGTGTATCGAAAATTCTAAAGATATGCTCTTTTTAAATATATTGTGATATTGCTGTTGAATAGAATTTTACAGTTTAAGTGCGAAGAACATGATATCTAATAAATACAGATAACACAAAAAATTTTTAAAAAACGCCCCTTTGGACGTAATATAAAATCCAAAAGATTTAGCTTTTTATTTATTTTTTTATAGTCCTAATGCTTAGCAGAAAGATACTTTACCGAGACAACCAGAAAAATAACACAGGTTCAGAAATGATTTTTTTCAATAAAAATTCAAATCAAAGCAATTAAGACTCTGGATTATGTCTATAGATATGTCTAAAATTAAATCTGATTTAATTTTTTAACAAATAATACTATAAGCAAAGTTATCACTAGAGTAAATGCAATTCAGGAAGTAGTTTATACTCTTGAAACAAAATTCAAGTCGATGTTGCGAAATACCTATCAGATTCAAGATTTATATTTAATTTTTATTTATTTATTTATTTTTATTTCCTTGCATGGAGTAAAGAAAGTATTCAAATCGCGAAAAATTTTTGGCAGGATGTTTTAACAGAAATATTCATTTTGATCGCTCTCGAATCAATTTTGACTATTTTTTGCGTGATTTCTATGCCTACCGAGAGAATAAAGCGCTCTTTTTTCCACAAACGGACTGTAAAATGGATTAAAAATTGATTCAATAGGAATTAATTCAAAAACGATTAGCCGTAGAACCTTTGAAATTTTGTATATGAAATTGTTATAATATCTAGTTGTGCAACTCTCTTTTTTATCACAATCAACAGTACCAAACGTATATATATATATATACACCCCTTTAAAAGGCTTAAAAGTCCTTGAACTTTAGTTTCGCAATCGTTGCGTAGTCACAATATGCTTCCAGTTAATGAAGTGGCGAAAATATTCATGTTTTAATAATGTCAAGTTAAAAAATTCTTTTTGAACGAGTAACGAAATCTAGCTTCATAAGGTATTTCTCCCGCCTTCTTAGCGTGCCTTTGGGATGTAGTGGTCTGCATGCTGGGCGCGTATTCCAGAGGTCCGTGGTTCGATTCCCAGCGAAGGCATTGCTCATTTTTCATCATTCCTGCTTTCAAAATATCTTATGTCTCTACAGTGGCGCCCGAACTAAAAGGGTGGTGGATGATGATTCTCCACACCCAGGATTTAGCGATTGGGTTCCCTAAAACCCCAGTCGCGCTTTAAAAGGGGGTATATAAAGTATTTCTCCCGCCTTCTTAGTGTGCCTTGGAGGGTGTAGCGGTCTGCATGCTGGGCGCATATTCCAGAGGCCCATGGTTCGATCCCCGGTGAAGACGTTGCTCATTTTTCACGTCTCCTGCTTCCGAAAAAATACCTAATGTCTCTACAACTTTTAATGTGGCCTCCCAGTTCATATACTTATATTTGAGAAAGTTTCGTACTTGCTATGAAAAAATAAAATTATAAGAAATTTGAATCCCATGCGAGAAAAATTGGCTGGGATATTTTACTATCGAACTATCTTTCGAACACTGTTTAGAAAGAACATACAAATAGTTTCATTTTGACTTCCCACGAAGATCTGAATATGCTTATTTTTAAATGCATTGAATTAATCTATTGAATACATAGAAATAAACTTACTGTTTTAGATTTGCAACTCCTCTTAGCCGTAAGAAGGTATAGTCACTTTTTTCTTTCTTTGCATTCAACTTATACCTGAATTAATGTTGTTTAACTGAGGAAATGCAGTACAAATGAGAAAAAATCATAAAAGGACAGGGAGAAGAACAAAGCGGAAAACGCAGTCATGACATAGAATAAATTAGAAAACGATCATTAATTCTGCGACTGTTGGCATCCGAGTAAAAATATGTACACCTTTGACATTTCTGAAGGGCAGCAATAAATGAAAATCTAAATCTTTATATGTCTCAAGTTAATGCAGATAATGGCAACAATAACTTATTAATAATTCAATTTATACAGAAATTGAGAATCGATTATACGTTTGGGAATATATATGTTGGCAGTTCAGAGATACAAATTCCAATTGAGAATATACATTCGAGAAATTGCCAAATGATCAACGCTAAAGTAAATAACGACACCTTTGATCGATGGTTCTACTTCAACGTGTTCGACAGCACACAACACTCGCCATCTGCCATTAGTCTTCTTTCAACCAGAGAAACACGGATATCGTCATAAACTATCCTACGAAAGTTATAAACACACTTGGTATCAACATTTAAATGAACTTTCTCAAAGTCTTGAGACTGCTGGCTTCTTCAACGACTGCCTAATTAGAATATGTTTGGGAGGTCAATCGTGACTGGCTGAAGGCTATGACAGTTGCATACTGTTATCTGTATCAGGAGCGATTTTCAGCCACTCAAATTTAGTTATTCTTTGGAAAATAGCTAATTTGCATTATGTGCTTAATTTTTGGAAGCTACTGTACGCAAGCGCAGTGTTCTGAATTTGGAAGAGTGTTTTGGCAGCTGTCGCTGATCGTTTACTCTGTTTCATCCCTGCTATTAAAGTTATTATCGGTTTTAACTTCGCTAGCCGCATTGTTTTGTAAAATATTTGGAGAAGAGCCAAAGCTTGTTTAGGCGCGTGGTAACTTTGTATTTAATTTGACTGGAATATTTGTTTTGTTTCTTTCAAATAACGTTTTCCAGTTTGTGCTACTGTATAGTTTATTCCAGGGATGCCCAACCTGCAGCTTGCGAGTCACATGTGGTTCGAGCGAACACATGTGAGGCGCTACACGGTGAACATCTCAATATTCCACGTTCCGTCATCGAAGTCATTGTGGGTTGCTTCAAATTGAACTGAATGCTACATTTTCATTCGCTGATCCTTATGAGTACCTCTGCCGCGCAAGGTCTATCAGAAGCGTAGCTATGGCTTTCAGCGCCCGGGGACAACTGAAGATTTTTCGCCCCTTTCTGTGTGCCAAGATTGGAAAACACTGCATTCTAAAATTTTGTGACATCAATTTGGCGCTTCCTGGATGCTGCTCCCGGGGACAGATGATCCCCCTTGTCCCACCCTAGCTACGCCACTGACATCTAGTAATTTTGTGATGCCACCGTCAGTCGCTAGCCCTACTCAACACGAAACACACGCCAACCAACACCAACACATAACGAATTTTCGAACTTATGCGTGAAGTTTCTGAGTTGGTGTTTTCATACAAGTATAAAAAATATTCACTTCTTTTATGTATGTTAATCATTGGTTTTCATGGATATAAATGTTTTTGTAGTTACCTTAATAATGTCTTCATACGAGCCTGGCAAAAGAAAAAACGTACCTACAATGACAGTTTTAACGATGAATGTGAAGAGAAACAAACTTTTTCTGTATTCAATCATCTTGTTTCTGCGTGTTAAATTATATCAGTAGAGTCGCTAACTAGTCCATCAAACAGAGCTCTAAAGCGTCCATGATTCAAATGACATCTTCGTTTAAAATTCACAATCCGTACGCATATTTCACAAGTGTACATCAGCGTAGCCACTGAGGGGAGGGGTTTCGAATATGAACCAATGAGCTGCTGTTGCTCTTGTGACGCTAAATCTTCGTGCATGTAAGCATATGTTGTTTGCGTTTCTGATATCATCCGCAAATAGACCAACCTCACATCTCCTTGATATAATCTTCTCAATTCCAGCCAAATATGAGTAGAAAAGAATTGTGCTCAACACAGAACCCTGGAGGGCGCCTTGGCTCAATTTAAAGGCGTTTGACATAGTGGAATTAAGCTTTCCTTTTATCAGTCTATTTCTTAAGAAATCTGCGATCCAGATCAAGGCTTTACCCCTGATGCCAAAATCTTCGTAGAGTTTAACTATTAGTTTATGTTTCCAGATACGGTCAAACGCCTTTGACAAGTCTAGAAAAACAGCCACAGTATGATTAGTAGGTCGCTTATTTTGGGCATCTCTAATCTTCTGGCTGAGATAGACCAATTGATCAGTTGTGCTATGACCTCTTCTGAAACCATATTGTTCTTTTGGTAGGAGGTCGTGGGTGTCCAGGTGAAAAAGCAACCGCCCCATAATCATTTTTTCCATGACTTTACATGCTATGCTGGTTAGGGCAATGGGTCTAAAGCTCTCAGGAGATCCATTGGTTTGGCCAGGTTTCTCAACAGGTATAATTGTGGCTCTTTTACACTCTTTAGGAAGGCGTCCTAGACTCCAAGATTGATTTACTATATTCAGAAATTTCTTTTTTGCATGAGTGCCAAGATGCCCAATGATCTGGCCATGGATACCATCAGGTCCAGGAGTTTTGGTCAAGTCAAGATCCTCAAGTGCCATCTCCAATTCATGCATGGAGAAGGATTTAAAGAAAAGAGGATTGCCCGAGACAGCACTACGACATCCATGTGCAAGATCTCGAGACCTTTTTCTCACTTTTTTATCAACTTCTGTAAAAGTCATCTCACTTATTTCCTGGTAATGTGCCCCGAGGAGATCAGCCGCAGCTTTTTCATCTATAGGGATGTTGCCATCCGTATCTAAGATAGCATTACATCTCTTTATCTGAGGTTGTTCACTGCTAATATTTTTGATCAATTTCCACAATTTCGTGTCAGATGATCTAGCCTCAAGTCCTTCACAAATATTCATCCATTTTTTCCTCTTAAGTAGCACAGAGGTTCTTTTTATTTCTGCATTGACTTTCTTCATCTCTGCCCTGTTTTGCTCTGTATTATTGTTTTTTAATTCGAGTCACAGGTTCTCTCTCTTTTGGAGCAAAGGCTGCAAAACCGGCGAATCGAGTAAAGTAAGGATTAAAAAGTTTTACCCTTCCTCTAGGTATAGTTCTTTTAGCTGCCCCAAAGAGAATATGCTTAAAAGTAATCCAGTTAGTATCAAGGTCGCTTGAATGAACGCTATATTCAGCCAGGGTGTCAACAAGACCACCAAATGCCTTCCAGTCTGCCTTATCAAAATTCCAATATTTTTTACGATTAAGGAAAGTACACTTTATTTCAATTAATATTGGAGAATGGTCACTCCCAATATTCTTCATAACTGTCCATGTGCAATTTGGAAAGATAGTGGGGCTTACTATAGACAGGTCAAGGGCTTCAGACGTGTTATAGCTATATGAAGAGTGCGTTGGAGTACCACCATTAAGGATCATGAAACTTGAGTCATCAACAGAATGAAGAAGATTAAGTCCTCTCTGGTTCTGGGAAGAGCAACCCCACGCTGGGTGCTTAGCATTTAAATCACCCAGAAGTAGAGTATTTCCAGATAAAGATTATCAAGGACTCCAGGCAGATTACCAATGTTGGGAGGGTGATATAAATTAAAGATGTTTAGTGGTTCACCTCTCCACATAACAGTGACGCCAATAAGCAATAACTAAGTTTGTCAAATCCTGATTAAGACAGTCTAGGCCTTTAAACGATGCACATTTTTTTCAAGAGCCTCCAACGCTCACTTTCTTTCTCTCACGAGGGAAAAGCAAGATTGTTAGGAAATTTTATTGTTATTTTGAAGCATCCATCAAATCGGGGCTTTGTTAACTTAAGCTATAATAAGGCCTTTAGTAATTATTTTCTTTTAGGTTTTCAGATCAATTGCATCAATCGACTCTCATAGAGTTTAATTTATGAAAAAAAAAGTAAAAGAAGAAGAGGCCGACAAATGTTTCTATATAATAGTATTGGTTCAGCAGGAATTTCATGAGAAATCCTGTTCTTCCGCTGAAGTTTCAACTCAAAGACGAGGCTTTTCCCTTTGTGACTGACGACATCAACAAACAAGACTATACACTGTTATAGTATGATTTAAATCAATTGATTTAAATATTTCGACCAACTGTTGGTGCCAATATCACAATTTGGAGCTTCCATTCTGAAGAAAATCTCAAATCATTACTTTCCAGGATAATTAATGCCTTACTGAATGGCCTGAAATGAAGAAGTAGGAGGGTATATTTTTGTCAAATTGTTATAGGTCATTATCCTAGCAATGTATAAAGATATCAAGAAAACCCAATTGCACACCTATGTTTTTGAGAAATTTCTAGATTTTAAATTCAAGTAACTCTCTCTTTTTCATTAAAAAATTTTAAGCAAGATACGACAATGTGGCTATGATATTGATATCCACTAACAGATAGATTTAGTTCTAAGTCCTACGAAGATCGCATGAAATGGAAGCACGCGATTTTCTCCTCTCCCTGTATTGCTATAATTTTAGAATCATGTTAAAAACTTTAATAAAACTGACGTATTATCCCTTCGACCATGAAAGTTGGCTTCAATTGAACTATGAAAGTGGAAGATCTCGCCAAAATTATGCCTACTCTTCCTACTGGTTATTCAATTATGGCAAAGCACACGAGGGCTATCTGCCTAAAGGGAGGGACGCCTCCGTGGAGGACTTTCTAAGGGAAACTGACTCGTATACACGTTACACATGGCGAAAACCACGAAAACGCCTATGCAGCCAGCCCGTTCGCGGGATTCGAACCTCGGACCGAACAACCAGTGTTCAGCGTCTTTACCGCTCGGCTGCTGGTGGGCCCTCTTCCTACGGAATTTTGAAGGAATTGAGCGTAAACAATCAGTATTCGACCCTCTTTGTTTTCACACTTCGTAAAAAGGCTTTGGTTGATTTCTACTATTTGTAAGCATCTTGATTCTACCGGAAGTTCTAATTAAAACGCTATGCGTGCAAACGTCTCGCAGGTAATTGTTACGTCTGTCATATCCAGATGTCCCCCCCCCAGAGCTTGTTAATTCTTTGGGCCAGCTATAAATAAACCAGAGTGTAGTCACAAATATAATTTTGCAGCTCTCAAACCGTGTTCTTTTTCGAATGGATACTCTCTTGTCGTAATTTTTCAAGTTGCATTTCCATTGTTTATCCGTTTTCCAATAAAATATCCTTATTGTATCCATTAATACAAACTTTTTTTAATAGTAGGATTCCACAACTTTGAAAATAATCCACTGCTTGCTGTTCTTTAAATGACAGGCTCCTTAATTATTATTATTTAAATGCAAGGAAAAATACAGTAATAATAATTAATTTATATCCTTGCTCATAAAAATAAAAGGCTTAAACATAATATACGGTACACACGAGATTTGAAGAATTCGGGAACCAGTAAAGTTTTCATTCTGTATCTGTGGGTTGGTGATATTTTGGTGGGTTACTGAGTTTTTTTTTAAATTTATTTATTTTTTTAAATATACCATGACGGTAAAAATAACGGATTATTGCTTTTCCGTTTTGTTTAGTTATTGAGGTACTTTTCCGTTTGGCCGGCGCAGGCGATAAAGTCGCCAATAATGGTATAACTGAGACTAAACGGAATATCCTCACTGGTAATCTTTTACGGCCTCATTTTTCAAAACAAGTCGCAGCCATTTCTTATCAGTTGATTGTTTCATTCAGATTTGGCATACATACATAGAATGTTTACAAGATAGTTCAGTTTTATGCCCTAGGGCTATTCGCGTAATTAAGTCAGTTAGGATGCAATTACACCGCTCACCCGAAGGCGAAAATATAGAAAAGGCAAAATCAAGGGTTAAATTCATCAATTCTGATGAGAATGCACTAGCGAAGTAAAGCATTGCGGTTTTACATAATTTCTGAGTAAGCTAGTCGTACGAATTGAATAACTCGTGCATTTAAACTTGTATTCCAAATTAAGATTTAACTTGAAATTAATGTAGATAATTACTGAGATAATTACATTTTTGTAGCGTAGTTTACGTGAGATGAGATCACTTGGAGGTCACGTGATACGAACCGGCGAATCTAGGATGTTGAACTATGAAAGCATAGTAAATTCTTAAATTCATGTCTTTTTACAAATTTATTGTCTTTATTTATTGGCTTTTTACAAAATTTTAAACGACATTAAAATATTTATGCCTTTAAAATTTCTTAGAACTAACATTCGTTAACATTTTTTATGTGTATACTGTATGTTGTCGCCAATAAAGTCTGCTTGGCGAGATTTGCGCCGGCGAAACGGAAAAGTACCGTTATTGATTGCATAGCTTATTTATTTGAGTGATATTAGTTTTATATATTTCTAGGTACGATATTTTTTCTTTTCCGGTTTAATCTTAGTATATTGCGCACACGAGATTTGGCGAAATCGTGAACATAAATGCTTTTAGTTTTAGAGTATGAATGATTTTTTTATTGAGGACATTTTTAGTCTTGATAGAGTTTTTTTTTTTATGATAAGCAGTGTAATGGATGATTAATATTTAAACACGAAATTTTTTGGAACGTGGAGCTAGAAGGAGAATGTTATTTGTATAACGTAATTTTTGACATTATATCCGAACATTTTACTTTGTACAAGTATTTGTTGTGTTGTACGTTGAAAATTATTTTTGTACTTGTTATGATGTAAGTTTTGTTTTTTATTTATTATGAAGTATATTAAACATTATTTTCAATTTCTAAATGCCTGCTTTTGTTCTTGTGTCACGCTGTATACTTATGGATTTATTCTGATTATTAGATGCAAATTATCTTTTTCTTCACATTTTTGTCTACGCAAACTTATGGCAACGCTTCATTTTGCCGTAGCCAAAAATTTGGCGACAAAAGTAAACGCGTCATTTTGCTGTTGGCAAAAGTTTTCAAAATCGTGTCGAAGCCATACCGTATACTAGGATTTTACTATAGTTTACCGACAATAAATTGGGGTTACATCAAACGAAGGCGCAGATATCTTGAGTGTGTTGTTACGTCACACTTATCCATAAATGGCGTTAAATCGGGGTGCTTGGAATTATATTCCGTCAACCGCTCAAAGTTTTACTGTCAGCAGGACAATAAGTAAATATCCAGTTAGTAAATAAACAAAACATTTTAGCTTTTATCTGCATATAGTATTAATTTTTTTCCTTTAATGTATACTAAGGTGAGCCTTATATGAACAATGGAACATACAGGGGTTGGACAAAAATATGGAAGCACCTTTAAAAAAACATGTTTCTTTGCTTAATATGGTGTAGGAAACCCGTTGGCATCCAAAACAGCTTGCAGTCTTCTCGGAATGGATAAATACAGTTCCTGTATGTTTGCCAAGGGAATATTATACCATTCTTCCCGCAAAACGGTGGCAAGTTCAGATAACGACGTTTGGCGGTGAATAACGAGAACACACTTTCCGTTCCAATGTAGACCACAAAGGTTCGATAATATTCAGGTCTGGTGACTGTGGTGGCCAGGGGAGATGGGACAACTCTCCTCGTGGTCAGAAAACCAGTCCTGGACAATGTGGAGCCTGAACAGGGGCTTTGTCGTCTTAGAAGACACCATCACCATCGGGGAACAAGTTTGTACCATGGGATGAACTTGATCGGCCAAATGTCACATAAGTATGGTTATGGTTTGGAGCATCCACGATTGGCTGCCCAAACCATAACAGAACCCCCGCCATGTTTTCACTCTTGGCAACAAGCAGTCTGTATTATAGGCTTGAGGCGTTCTCCAGACGTAAACTCGGCCAAGTGGAAACAATGAAAAAGACTCAGTCAGACCATATTACTCGCTTCCACTGCTCTATAGTGACTTAAACACCACCTTTTCCTGTTACGGGCATTAGCATCACTGATGAGTGGCTTCTCAATTGCAGCACGGCCAGC